TGTGGTTGTATGGATTAACATGAAGCCCTGGTGAATCTGGTAAAGCATGCTATATTCAGGGGTTATGCCTTATGTCCTATTTCATGGTCATTATGTATCGTGTTATGCATCAAGCAGAAAACTTCCAACTTATAAATACTCTGACTTGAATTCTGAATCTTACTCTCAAATCTTTGAATATCAATCACTCCGTCACTCTCTTAAGAGACATTGGATTCTTTTTAACATTTCACTTGGATTAAAGGACTCGTGGTGTTTTATGGTTGCCTTTTTGTTTTTGTTTCCATGACTTATTATTTTATTCCAGTTTTGTTTGAAAGAAGACATTTTCTGAGGAAGTTTATTTGTACACCTAAAAATTTGCGTCTGACTGCCCGTGAACAAAAACATATCATTGCTGTGGATTATCCAGATGGATGGTAATACTGATTTCCTAGTGTTGTATTTTTCAGATGACCCATACGGTGGTCCACCACATCGGTGGCAACAAAATCTTCCGCCCGCAGAGCATGTAGTCACAATGATGCCAAAGCCATCTCCTCCACCAGCTCCAGCATCACGTCCACCACACTCACCACAGTATGTTCCCCCACCACCACCACCACCTTTCACAAGCAGCAGTGGAGGTTCTGGTTCCAATTATTCAGGGGGTGAAACTCCACTCCCACCACCTCCACCAGGCTATACCTTGGGATTCTCTAAAAGCACATTTACATATGAGGAACTAGCATTAGCAACAGAAGGCTTCTCGGATTCCAATCTCCTTGGACAAGGTGGATTTGGATATGTACACAAGGGAGTCCTTCCGAATGGGAAGGAAGTGGCAGTCAAGCAGCTAAAAGCTGGAAGTGGGCAAGGGGAACGTGAATTCCAGGCAGAAGTTGAAATTATTAGCCGTGTACATCACAGACATCTTGTTTCACTGGTTGGGTATTGCATGACTGGATCGGAGAGACTACTTGTTTATGAATTTGTTCCAAATAAAACTATGGAGTTCCACTTACATGGTAAGTTTGTTTTTTTCCGCACACATTATTGAGTTTATGATGATAAACACCTTTAATCAAAAGTAAAACAATGAATTTAAATAGTCAAGTTGATAGACTGTTGCTTGATTGTTATATGGTGAACTCTCATCATTAGTGTTATGATTTTCCATCTGCGAATGTGAAGTACGCGTCTATAGAATTTAGGTTATGATTAGGTGATATTTACCATTATAATGTTGGTTCATACTTCTGGTTACAAGGATCTGATAGACTGTTCGTATTGCAGGAAAAGGACAACCTACCATGGATTGGCCCACCAGACTGAAAATTGCTTTAGGATCTGCAAAAGGACTAGCATATCTTCATGAGGATTGTAAGCTCTCCGTGTCCGTGCACACACAGAATGCACTTGAAAAA